TCATATTATTTTGCCCCACTGGTGTGCTGGGACTTCTCTGCTGGAAACCTGGACTTCCAGAAAGGCTATCCTATCCATAGGTGGATTGTCTAAGACTGTTTTCCAGGGGCTCCTGGACTGTAGTAAAGTGGGGCTGGAATTGGCTCATGGGCCATTGCAGGGTCCACAGCTGGGACTGAGGCCTCTGTGCCGATTACATGCCTGACACATGGGTGAGTGAGTATCCTTCCGGTTTCCTTGGTGTATAGTGCTGGATCCCACCGCTCCAGCAAAGGCATTTCTGTCCATGGGTGGATGCCAGATTGTTGGTTTTGAGGGGTGGGTGGTGAGAAGGTATGTCTTATTTGGCTGTGTTGCTGACATCATTCCACAGTGAGTATTTTTTTTTAAATTTTTTATTGTTATGTTAATCACCATACATTACATCATTAGTTTTAGATGTAGCGTTCCATGATTCATTGTTTGTGCATAACACCCAGTGCTCCATGCAGAACATGCCCTCTTTAATACCCATCACCAGGCTAACCCATCCTCCCACCTCCCTCCCCTCTAGAACCCTCAGTTTGTTTTTCAGAGTCCATTGTCTCTCATGGTTCGTCTCCCCCTCCGATTTCCCCCCCTTCATTCTTCCCCTCCTGCTATCTTCTTCTTCTTTTTTTTTCTTAACATATATTACATTATTTGTTTCAGAGGTACAGATATGAGATTCAACAGTCTTGCACAATTCACAGCACTTACCAGAGCACATACCCTCCCCACTGTCTATCACCCAGTCACCCCATCCCTCCCACCCCACCCCCCACTCCAGCAACCCTCAGTTTGTTTCCTGAGATTAAGAATTCCTCATATCAGTGAGGTCATATGATACATGTCTTTTCCACAGTGAGTATTGATAGATGTAATCACTCAAGAAACCACCACCATAATCAAGATAAATACATTTCCATTACCTCTGAGAGTTTTCTTGTGCCTCTTTGCAGTCTGTCCCTTATTTCTGGAATCTCATATAATGGAATTGTACATTCATTAGTGAATGTAGTCTTTTTTTGTCTGGCTTCTTTCACCTAGCATGATTATTTTGGGATTCATTCATGTTGCTTGGTGTATCAGTGATCTGTTCTTTTTTTACTGCTGAAGAGTAATTATTCTTTTAAATAATTTTAAATCCTCTTTTTCTATTCATATCCACTTATCCATTGGTAAATATTTAGGTTATTTCCAGTTTTTGGCTATTATGAATAAAGCTGCTGTAAACATTTGTGAACAAGTATTTTCATGGATGTATGTCATTATTTCTCTGGGTAAATACCTGGGTGGCTTATATGGTACGTATATGTTTAACTCTGTTAGAAGCTGCCAAACAGTTTTTCAAAGTGATTGTTCATTTTACATTCCCATCAGCACTAGAAGAGAGTACTGTTTGTTCCACATCCTTGCAAACACTTGGTATTGTCAGTCTTTTCAGTTTTAGTCATTCTAATATCATTATGGTTTTAATTAACTGTATTCCCTTCATGGTCAAAGATGTTGAGCATTTTTCATGTGTTCCTTGGCTCTTAGTATATTTTCTTTTGTGAATGGTCTATTCATATCTTTCATTAATATTTAAAAATTAGATCCATTGACCTTTAGTTCTTTTGACCTATAACTCAACCTTTAATTGTTGAATTATAAGAGTTCTTATATACACGGTATACAAGTCCCTTTGTCAGATATAAGTATTGCATAAGTTTCTCTCAGTCTGTGGCTTGCCTTTTTGTGTTCTTAATGATATTTTTCAAAGAGTAAAGTATATCATTTGGTGAAGTCCAGTTTATCAATTTCTTATTTATGTTTTATGCTTTTTTTACTTTTATTTATTATTATTTTTAAAAGATTTATTTTATTTATTTGAGAGAGGGAGAGTGAGCTTGAGCTGGGGGGGAGGGGTACAGAGGGAGAGGATCTCAAGCAGACTCAGCTCTGAGCACAGAGCCCTACGAGGGGCTCGATCTCACAACCCTGAGATCCTGACCTGAGCTGAAATCAGGAGCCAGCCAACTGAGCCACCCAGGCACCCCTATGTTCTTTTGACTTTTAGCTAAGAAAACTTTAGCCCACCCTAAGTCTGAAGATTTTCTCCTTTATTATTTTCTATAAGTTTTAACATTTTATCTTTTATATTTAGGACTGTAACTCATTTCATATTAATTTTAGTGTTTGAGGTAAGGTGTCATTCATTTTTTCAATGATAATATCCAGTTTTTCTAGCAACATTGTTAAAAATACTTTTTTTCCCATTTGAATTGCTTTGACAATTTTTTTGAAAATTATCATTTATGTGAGTCTATTTCTAGGTTCTCTATTTTTTCATTTATCTCCAAATATATTCTTTTTTTGTCATTTTCCATATATATTATTTTATTATTATCACACTATCTTGATTACACTAAATCTTCAAATCAGTTAATGTAAATTCTCTTTGTTCTTACTTTTTTTTTCTCTGTTCTTTTCTAAAATTACTTTGGGTATTATGTGTTGTTTTAATTTTCACATGAATTTTACGGTTAGCTCCTCTATTTCTATAAAAACACATGCTGGGATGTTAATTGGGATTGTGTTAGATCTATAGATTAATTTGGAGATTGTATCTGAACACTATTAAGTCTTCCAGTCCATGAATATGGAATATCTCTCTATGTATGTATGTCTTCTTTATTCTCTTTTAGCAATGTTTTGTAGTTTTCAGGGTATAGGTCTTACACAAATTTTATTAAATTATCCCTAAGCATTTCATATTTTTGATGCTATTATAAAAAAAGTTGTCTTTACATTTCATTTTCCCATTGATTATTGCTAGTGTCTAGAAATACTATTGTTTTTCTCATATTGACTTTGTATCTTGAAAATGTTGCTAAGTTCACTTACTAATTCTAGTAATTTTATTCAAATTCTTAGGATATTCTCTGTATATTATCATGTCATCTGTAAACACAGTTTTATTAATTTTAATTCTTTCTTTCCAATTTGAAGACCTTTTTATATTCTTGCCTCATTTCACTGGTTAAAACCTCCAATACAATGGTGAATGTAAGTAATAATGAGATACAAATCAGCATGACTCTGGAGGCTTGCTTCCTTCCTCCTTTTGGTAGCTTAATAGAGAGTTCTATCAGCTGAACTGAGTCAGCTTGTGGAGAGACAGCAAGGCCTTACGCTGATATCAGCATTCCTGGCATGCACAGTTCTTTCTGGGGCCCTTGGTGTGTAGACCTTGGTCCTAGAAATACATACTTCTTACCATTGTTGCTAGACCCAGATATTCCTTGATAAATTTCTTGTTACTTAAGGAAACTAAGTGTTCCTTTCCCCCTCCAAAGCTAATTTAAAGATACGTAACGTTGTGGTGGTGGGACTTGTCCTTGCTCTTGGAGGAGTTTCTAGAGAACACCCAGCTTTCTAGCCAAAGGAGGCTCCTCTGCACTTGGCTATATTGTGTACAGAGGATCTCTGCCTAACCTATGCTGTGGAATAATGAAAGTTCAGTGTACACAGTGTGGTTCCTTATTTCTCTGCTTCTAAGATTTTCTCCAGTAAACACTATTTATATCTCTATCCTCTGGTGTTAGTGGCATGTGTCACCCTTGCCCAAGTATTGAGAGGGCACGTACTCGATTAATTCTTTTTCTTGTGGGGAAAACATTTAGTCTTTAATCATTGAGTATGATGTTTAATGTGAGTTTTTTATGAAATTCCCTTCGTTTCATAGTTGTAGAAAATTGTTTTTTAATTTAATTTAATTTAATTTAAAGATTTTATTTATTTATTTATTTATTTGACAGAGAGAGACACAGCGAGAGAGGGAACACAAGCAGGGGGAGTGGGAGAGGGAGAAGCAGGCTTCCCATGGAGCAGGGAGCCCGATGCGGGACTCTATCCCAGGACCCTGGGACCATGACCTGAGCCGAAGGCAGACGCTTAACGACTGAGCCACCCAGGCACCCCTGATTTTTTTCTTAAAGATTTAATTAATTAATTAAAAAAAAAAGATTTTATTTATTTATTTGACAGAGAGAGAGACAGCTAGAGAGGGAACACAAGCAGGGGGAGTGGGAGAGGGAGAAGCAGGCTTCCCGCCGAGCAGGGAGCCCGATGCGGGGCTCAATCCCAGGACCCTGGGATCATGACCTGAGCCGAAGGCAGACGCTTAACGACTGAGCCACCCAGGTGCCCCTTAATTAATTAATTTATTTAGAGAGAGCCCACTTGGGCAGGGGGGATGGGCAGAGGGAGAGGGAGAGAGAGAATCTTAAGCAGACTTGCTCAGCAGGAAATTGGGGCTCAATGCAGAGCTTGATCCCAGGACCCTAAGATCATGACCGGAGCTGAAATCAAGAGTGTGACGCTCAACTGGCTGAGCCACCCAGGCGCTCCAGAAAGTTGTTTTTTTTTTTAATTCATTAATGAATATTGAATTTTGTCATTCACATCTGCATATGGCCCTGATCATGCATGTGGCCTTATTCTGGTAGGAGATGCTGATAGATTAGATGAGGCTGTGGTGAGGGAGAGGCAAAATCTAAGTGTGCTTAAGAAGGTAGAATTAATTTACTGCTTATTTAATACAGATAGGTACATTATCTCAAAAGAGGGCTTTTTTTGTTTTAAAATTCTTATCATGAATAATTTAACCTTTTTAACACCTATGGGAGAGATAATCCTTATTTGTTTGTTGACTTGCTTCACTTTGAACTCTGTAATGAATCTGTATTTGATTTTAAGACAGTTTATCTAGGGGTGCCTGGGTGGCTCAGTTGGTTAAGCATCCAACTCTTGAGCTCAACTCAGGTCTTGACCTCAGGGTCATGAATTCAAGCCCCACTTTGGGTTCCATACTTGGCATGGAGCCTACTTAAAAAAAAAAAATAAATAAAAGTAAAAAATACAATTTATCTATTTAGAAAAGAAAATTGTAGAAGGAAGTTACCATTAATTTTTTTCTAACAAATTATTCCTCCTAGTGGATATTTTGACATATGTGGTCTGGAAGCTAAGTGGCTTACCTGCAACTCGTGTAATTGGAAGTGGTTGCAATCTAGACTCTGCCCGTTTCCGTTACCTAATTGGAGAGAAATTGGGTGTCCATCCCACAAGCTGCCATGGTTGGATAATTGGAGAACATGGTGATTCTAGTGGTAAGTAGAAACCTATTATCATAATGTAATCATACTTCTTATCTCTAATCATGCTTATTTTCTTTAAAGTATATTTTTTTCTGATATTAATATAGCTACATAACTTTCATTTTGTTGGTATTGCCCTGGTGTATCTTTTTCTATTCCTATACTTTGTCTTCTGTTCATGGATTTAGCTATCTCTCATAAAATATTGCACATAACATATAGCTGTTTTAAAAGTCAATGAGTGTTTCTCTTATCTAGAGAACCTTAACTTAGTGTGACTTTTAAACAGCAGCATTATTAAGATATAATTCACATACTATAAAATTCATCCATTTAAAGTGTGTAATTCACTGGATTTTAGTGTAGTCAAAGAGTTGTGCAACCATTACTACAAGATAATTACAGAACATTTTCATCACCCCAAAGAGAAACTCCCATTCCTGTGCTCACACCCACCCCAGGCCCAGGCAGCCACTAACCTACTTTCTGATTTGTTTATTTCAGATTTTTCATGTAAGTAGAATTATATAATATGTGGTTTAAACTATTACTTAGGCCACATGAACCTTTTTCTTTTCTGGACTTAAACATTTAATATCTGCTGTACAGTAGAACTTTCTACTTCTTTTTTTTTTTTTAAGATTTTTATTTATTTATTCATGAGAGACAGAGAGAGAGAGAGGCAGAGGGAGAAGCAGGCTCCCAAGGAGCAGAGAGCCCGATGCGGGGCTCGATCCCAGGACTCTGGGATCATGACCTAAGCCGAAGGCAGACGCTTAACCATCTGAGGCACCCAGGCACCCCGAACTTTCTACTTCTTACAATGTTCTCTAATTGTGTCATACATGCAAATCTTTCCATAATGTCAATAAACCCATTTTATAGGGAATAAGGACCATTTGTTCATTCATTCAATTGTTCACTAATTCAAAACATTTAATGAGCCCTTCTATTTTCCTTGTATTTCAAGGGTCATAGTATAATAAATATTTTTTAAACCATGATAAAATTTATGGTATACTTTAAAACATTTTTTCACTTAAGTATATATAACATATGCAGAAAAATTATACAGAATATAAATTTATAGCTCAATAAATCATCAAATAGTGAACACATCTGTGTAATTACCACTCTGGTAAATGCACTTTCTACTCTGGTATGCACTTACCACTCTGGTAAAAGACACTTTCATGACCTCTCTCAATTACTGTCCTTCCTTTTCCCAAGCTAAACTTCTCATATCATAGTGTTTTACTTTTAAAAATAAATGCTTTTGATTTGATTTGGATAAATATTTGTTTCACCATTGCCTTAATTTGACCCTTCTTAACTCAGTTCTTCCTCCTCAAAGTCATTAAAAATAATTTTCCTAGGTATGTTTTAATGTCTCACATTTAATATTCCAGAATTTTATTTTTTATAAAGTAGTATATTCTGATTAGTATTGATTTGAATATATTTATTATTCTATTTAGCGAGATTTTCTTTTGTTTCTTTTTTCTTCTCTGCTTTCTACTGGATCATTTAAACTTTCTTTAATTTCCTTTACTACTTTGGATTATACACTCACTTTGTAAGTGGTCTGTATTCATACTTGACCTCAAAATAATTAGTGTGTTTATTCTTCTTTGGAATAATACATAGAATGTATTAAGTTTGATTGGCCTTTTTCTCTCACATATGTAATTACGGTTGACCCTTGAGTGACATGGAAGTTAGGGGTTCCAATCCCCACACAGCTGAAAATCTGTGTATAACTTTTGACTCCCCCCAAATTTAATTCTAATAGCCTACTGTTGGCTGGAAGCCTTAGTGATAACATAAACAGTTAATTCAATCAAAGTATGTTATATATATTATATGCTATTTTCTTTATAATAATACATAGTTCATCTGCAAGTCTTTTTCAGATTGTTGCACATCTCCAAAACATTTTCCAGTATACTTATTATACTTATATTAATGTATAAGTGGACTCACACAGTTCAAACCTGTGTGTTCAAGGGACAACAGTATTAACTACTTTTTTGGTTCCATTCTGTTTTCATATCCCCAAACTAATTATTACTATTTAAGTATAATACCTGTCTGGATTTGTGTACATGTTTGCCAGTTGTATTGCTTATCTTTATTTCCTGTGTCTAACTCCTTCCCCTGGATTCAATTCTTTCTTCCTAAAGTATATCCTGTCAGTTTTGTTTATGTGAAAGTGTTTTAGTTTCACCTCATTTTGAATGACAGTTTAACTGATATAAGATTTTAGGTTGACAGTTATTCCCTGTCAGCTCTTTGTTACTGTTGAGTAGTATTTGTTGCTCTTTTCCTTCTAGTTGCTTATGATAGTTTATCTTATCCTTTTCTTTGTGGATTCTGTAGTTCCATCTTGCTTTAAATGCCTCCTATACCACACAATTATAAATAACTTCTACTACATATTTTTTGAAATTTTATTTTATTATGTTAGTCACCATACATTACATCATTAGTGTTTGATGTAGTGTTCCATGCTTCATTGTTTGCATATAACACCCAGTCCTCCATTCAATACGTGCCCTCCTTAATACCCCTCACCGGGCTAACCCATCCCCCCACCCCCCTCCCCTCTGAAACCCTCAGTTTGTTTCCTGGCATCCATAGTCTCTCATGGTTCGTCTTACATATTTTTCTAATACTTTATAATTTTGGTTTTTTACATTTCTTTCTTTTGTCCATTTTAAACTTATTTTTATATATGTGTAAGGTAGTAACATAACTTTATAATATAAACCCATTGAACTCAAAGAATTGATGCAGTACTGGAAAGAAGAGTTTATTCTGAGATATATTTCTTTTAGTGCCTTTGTGGAGTGGGGTGAATGTTGCTGGTGTTGCGCTGAAGACTCTAGACCCTAAATTAGGAACTGATTCAGACAAAGACCAGTGGAAAAATATCCATAAACAAGTTGTTGAAAGGTAACAGTACTCATTCAATGTCTCAGTGCCTTAATAATCAGTCTTAAGAATTAGTTTCACAGACAAAAAGTATATGTTGATCTTTGCCTCTTGTAAGAAAAATAACTCTAACCTTCTGAAAATCCCCAAATTCAGACTTATATTATGCATAGCTTTCTTCGGGGGTCATTTTTTAAAAGGAAAATCTGCTTATCATTTCACAAGAACTCATATGTGTTGGGGGGTAATATAGCATAGTGATTATGATCACGAACTTTGGAACCAGGTTGCTCTTGTTTCCCTTGCCTTTGGTGATGTGTCCAGGAAGATGTTGCTGTGGCCGAGGTCGAAGAGGTTTCTGCCTGTGTTCTCCTCAAGGATTTTGATGGATTCATGTTTCACATTTAGGTCTTTGATCCATTTTGAGTCTATTTTTGTGTGTGGTGTAAGGAAATGGTCCAGTTTCATTTTTCTGCATGTGGCTGTCCAGTTTTCCCAACACCATTTGTTGAGGAGACTGTCTTTTTTCCATTGGACATTCTTTCCTGCTTTGTCGAAGATTAGTTGACCATAGAGTTGAGGGTCCATTTCTGGGCTCTCTATTCTGTTCCATTGATCTATGTGCCTGTTTTTGTGCCAGTACCATACTGTCTTGATGATGACAGCTTTGCAATAGAGCTTGAAGTCCGGAATTGTGATGCCACCAGCTTTGGTTTTCTTTTTCAACATTCTTCTGGCTATTCAGGGTCTTTTCTGGTTCCATATAAATTTTAGGATTATTTATTCCATTTCTGTGAAAAAAATTGATGGTATTTTGATAGGGATTGCATTGAATGTGTAGATTGCTCTGGGTAGCATAGACATTTCACAATATTTGTTCTTTCAATCCATGAGCATGGGACGTTTTTCCATTTCTTTGTGTCTTCCTCAATTTCTTTAATGAGTATTCTATAGTTTTCTGAGTGCAGATCCTTTGCCTCTTTGGTTAGGTTTATTCCTAGGTATCTTATGATTTTGGGTGCAATTGTAAATGGGATCGACTCCTTAATTTCTCTTCCTTCTGTTTCGTTTTTGGTATATAGAAATGCAAGTGATTTCTGTGCATTGATTTTATATCCTGCCACTTTACTGAATTCCTGTATGAGTTCTAGCAGTTTTGGGGTGGAGTCTTTTGGGTTTTCCACGTAAAGTATCATATCATCTGCAAAGAGTGAGAGTTTGACTTCTTCTTTGCCGATTTGGATGCCTTTTATTTCTTTTTGTTGTCTGATTGCTGAGGCTAGGACTTCTAATACTATGTTGAATAGCAGTGGTGATAGTGGACATCCCTGCCGTGTTCCTGACCTTAGGGGGAAAGCTGTCATTTTTTCCCCATTGAGAATGATATTCGCTTTGGGTTTTTCATAGATGGCTTTTATAATATTGAGGTATGTACCCTCTATCCCTACACTGTGAAGAGTTTTAATCAAGAAAGAATGCTGTACTTTGTCAAATGGCTTTTTCTGTATCTATTGAGAGTATCATATGGTTCTTGTCCTTTCTTTTATTAATGTAGTGTATCACATTGACTGATTTGTGGATGTTGAAGTAAACTTGCAGCCCAGGAATAAATCCCACTTGGTTGTGGTGCATAATCCTTTTAATGTATTGTTGGACCTCATTGCTAGTATCTTGGTGAGAATTTTTGTTTTCTATATGCCTTACAGCTTTTTGTTCCTCATGTCCTGTATTATTGTCTTCTTTTGTGTTTAGTTGATTTTTTTGTACTGAAATATTTAAATTTCTTCTGTATATATTCTATAACTATTATAGTTATTTTCTTTTTGGTTACCATGGGTATTACACTTAGCATCCTAGTATTATAACACACTTACTTGAATTTGTACCAGCTTAACTTCAGTAACATACAAAAACTCTGCTCCTTTACAGCTCCATCCTCACCCCTTTTGATTATTGATTTCAAAAATAACATGTTTGGGGCGCCTGGGTGGCTCAGTTGTTAAGTGTCTGCCTTTGGCTCAGGTCATGATCCCAGGGTCCTGGGATCGAGTCCCGCATTGGGCTCCCTGCTCAGCGGGAAGCCTGCTTCTCCCTCTCCCACTTGCCCTGCTTGTGTTCCCTCTCTTGCTGTGTATCTCTGTCAAATAAATAAATAAAATCTTTTTAAAAAATTACATGTTTGTACATTGAATGCCCCCCAAATAAACTAATAATTCTTTTAACTGCATCAGTCTTTTAGACTTGAAAACAGGAATTACAAACTAAAGTCACAATAATACTATCTTTTTGATTGCTTTTTAAAAAATGTATTGGTCTGTTAAATTATTCCAAAAACAAAAAAGTAGAATTGCAACTACTGTTACAATATTACTAGCTTTTTATAATTTTGCCTGTGCATTTTTGTTTATTGAGATCTTTATTTTTTCATATGGCTTTGAGTTACTATTCACTTTACCCTGCAGAATTCCACTGAGTGTTTCTTGCAGGTCAGGTCTAGTGGTGATGACTCCCCCAGCTTCTGTGTCTTTGGGGATATCTTAATTTCTCCCTCACTTTAGAAGGACAGTTTGCCAAATATAAAATATAAGATCCTTTGTTGACAGTTTTTTTTTTTCTTTTAGTACTTTGAATGTATTTGCCCACTGCCTTCTGGACTCTAAAGTTTCTAATGAGAAATCTGCTAATAATCTTATTGTTTACTTTTCTTCAATGTTTTTTCTTTCTGTTCCTCAGATTCAGTAATTTCCATTGTTCTACCTTTAAGTTTGCTGATTCTTTCTTCTGCTTGTTCAAGTCTGCCTTTGAATCCCACTAATGAATTTCTTATTTTAGTTATGCTTTTAAGCTCTAAAATTTTTGGGGGGGTGGTTCTTCTTAGGTTTTCTTTTTTTAAAAAAAAATTTCCATTTTGTTCATTCACCATTTTCTTGACTTACTCCACATCTCCTTTATTTCTTTGAGCATCTTGAAGATAGTTACTCTGAAGTCTTTGTCTAATAGATTTGCCATCAGGTCTTTCTTAGGGACGGTTTCTGTTGATTAATATTTTTCCTTTGAATGGGCCATACTTTTCTATTTCTTTGAATACTTTGTGATTTTTTCATTGAAAACTGGATATTTGAATCTAATAATATAGTAACTCTGGAAATCAGATTCTCTCCCCTCCGAGGGTGTGTGTTTGTGTGTGTGTGTGTGTGTGTGTGTGTGTGTTGAAGGCTGTCTCCATGCCAAGGATCAGCCTGAGGTATAATCTTAAGGTCTTTTAGGTCTATTCTGAGCCTATGCCTTTTCCTGGTCATGCATGGTTACTTTCTAATTTTCCCCCATATATACAATTGATTTTTTACATTCTAGTCTTTAATATCTGGCTCCCAGTAAGAGAAAAAGAGAAAAATAAAGGGAATGGGGAGTGGATGCTTTCCTTTTAAATTTCCTGGAGGTCTCTTTAGCTAGATGGGAAGGGGATGCAATGATCGGGGGGAGGGACAACAACAATGGCTGCCCTTCTTTTTCTACACATCTGTCATCAGAAGCAACCCATCAGCCATTAGAGCACAGATCCCTGATACTTATTTTTTAATTTTTTAAAAAGATTTTATTTATTTACTTGACACAGAGAGAGAGAAGGAGAGAGCAAGCACAAACAGGGGGAGCAGCAGAGGGAGAGGGAGAAGCAGGCTCTCCGCTGAGCAGGGAGCCCGATGTGGGCCTCAATCCCAGGACCCTGGGATCATGACCTGAGCTGAAACTAGCTGCTTAACCAACTGAGCCACCCAGGCGCCCCCAGATCCCTGATATTTAGAGGATGGGATCCTTTTTGCAGGCTGTGCATAAGCTGCTTGGGGAACATGTGAACAGCTGTTTGCTGAGGGTGGGGGATGGGTAGCTGCTACTGTGCTAAGAGCTGAAATTGGCTGAAATTAACTACAGATTACCATTGGAGGCTTCCCTTGAAAGTTTCAAACCTTCAATAGACTCCAGAGTTCCAGAATAGTTATATTAGACAGATTTTGGCAAAACAATTATTGTCTAGGTGGGGAGATAGAATCTTGCTGCTTCCAGGGCACCTGGGTGGCTCAGTCATTGTCTGCCTTTGGCTCAGGTCATGATCCAGGGTCCTGGGATGGAGCCCCACATCGGGCTCCTTGCTCAGGGGGAAGCCTGCTTCTCCCTCTCCCGCTCCCCCTGCTTGTGTTCCCTCTCTCATTGTGTCTCTGTCAAATAAATAAATAAAATCTTAAAAAAAAAAAAAAGAATCCTGGTGCTTCCTACTTCACCATCTTTTCAGAATCCTCCAGTGCTTAACTTTTTTTTTTTTTTTTAAAGATTTATTCACTTGACAGAGAGAGACACAGCGAGAGAGGGAACACAAGCAGGGGGAGTGGGAGAGGGAGAGGCAGGCTCCCCACTGAGCAGGGAGCCCGATGCGGGACTCGATCCCAGGACCCTGGGATCATGACCTGAGCCGAAGGCAGCCGCTTAACCGACTGAGCCACCCAGGCGCCCCAAGTGCTTAACTTTTTTTAACCTAAAAAATTTTTTGTACAAAAGCATACCCAAAGTCATCTTCCTAGATAGCCCTGCCTTTTTGGAAAGGATCCATACCTACTGTTAACCTTCTACCCATGATACCTCCCCATGACCTTAGGTAATTATCTTTGTATCATATATTCCTCAGAGTTCCTTTGACAAACATGTCTTTGATATTTTATACATAGAAAAAGACAAGCTAGTATACCCCTAACCACCAGGATCTATACAATAGGTAACCAAAATCACTCACGATGTTTTGGTAATCCTTAGCTAATTGGACTATCCTATTTTCCAATTTTATTTACTATCACCTTATTAAATGTACTGAGAGACTCATTTAATTGTGTATTTGATATTTCTAAAGCAAATTTATTTCCTCTTCTGGCCAATTTATTTCCACAGAGATTACATCGATTGGGAGTTTTAGGTAAATTTCCCGAACTATCTTTCCACGTTGGTAATTGTTATCGGTATTTCGTTTTCTTTCTTTCGTTCTTTTTTTTTTTTTAAGAGAGAGCAGCCATGTGTGGGGGGAGGGGGCAGAGGGAGAGTGAGAGAGAGAATCTTAAGCAGGCTCCATGCCCAGCACGGAGTCTGACTCAGGGCTCGATCTCACAAACCTGAGATCATGACCTGGGCCAAAATCAAGAGTTGTATGCTTAACCACCTGAGCCACCCAGGCGCCCCTCATTTTCTTAAATTTTCTTAAGGGAACCTACAAACCTTTGTTATACCAAATAGCTTTAGATAAGAGATTAAGTTAATGCCTAGCAAAAAACACCTATGTTAATATTATAGTAGCATTTCCTATCCTTCTCAACACAAGTATCCTTTACCCATATACCATATATTTCCAGATATAGGGGCCATAGAGGCCATTTCCCAGTAAATGCAGGAATGACCTGATCTGGAGGCAGAACTACAACCCAGCCACTAAGGAACATGTTTTAACCAATTTAACCAATTTAAATGTTGCAGGGATGTTACAGTATTGGCTGTACAGTATTTGTCTTCCCAATTCCTAATCATTGCACCACAGTGAATGTTAGTTTCTTTCTAATTTAAAGTATGGTATCTAATTTATTTTTTTATATATATATTTTTAAAGATTTTATTTATTTATTTGACAGAGAGAGAGACAGTGAGAGAGGGAACACAAGCAAGGGGAGTGGGAGAGGGAGAAGCAGACTCCCCGCTGAGTAGGGAGCCTGATGCAGCGCTCGATCCCAGGACCCTGGGATCATGACCTGAGCTGAAGGCAGATGCTTAACAACTGAGCCACCCAAGCGCCCCTAAAGATTTTTTTTTTTAAGATTTTATTTATTTATTTGACAGAGACAGAGACCGCGAGAGCCGGAACACAAGCGGGGTAAGGGGGAGAGGGAGAAGCAGGCTTCCTGCTGAGCAGGGAGCCTGATGTGGGACTTGATCCCAGGACTCTGGGATCATGACCTGAGCCGAAGGGAGCCACTTAACAACTGAGCCACCCAGGCGCCCTATGATACCTAATTTAAATAATGAGTAAGACCACATTTTCCACTGAAGTCCTGTGTGATTTGAATAACAAATACTGCAACACAATACAGATTGGTACTCATTCCAATTAGTCCTCCCAACAATGCAGTGTCCAAATTAAATTATTTGCCCCTTGGTCATTTAGTAGAGGATCTATAATTATAAGAGTCCTCAGGATGCTGCTGGTCTTTATCTAAAAACAACTCAACTCTTATGTTATAGCTTCTGATTTTCCAGTGGCTAACCAACAACTGCAGGGGAGTGACATCATGATTTAATAGGATGTCCTTCCAGGTTTTTAATAGAGCAATCAGTTTTTGTCTTAAGATAGTAGCCTTAAAACTGCTTGTTCTATTTGCTCCCCTTACCTTTCTTTTTATACCAGCAGTTTTATTTTCATTAGGATGGATAATAACAACTAAAGGATTATATTTTTAGCCATTTTTTTTCTCAACCCTTTTCTCTTTGTCAGTCCGTTTTGTTAATTCCTGAGAGGGTGGATCTGTCATCCAGATTCCACCGGTAAGATTTTTCCCCAGTTATCTACTGCAGAGCTTTCTTCAACTCCTACATCATCGTTCAATCAATCACTAGGCAGCAGAGTCTCCCTCTCTTTCCTTTTACTTAACCCACAGAGTCTTGGTCATATTGAATTGAGAGCCTGAAAGTTAATCCTCAATTTGACAGCAATCCGTATGCCCTCTAACTGTGCCCCTGATTTTAGATTGACATTCAAATCATAGGATACTACAATGATTACAGTCCAGTCTCAACTATCCTGTGCTGAGGTGATCCATACACACATCAGTCTTATCTTTTGCTACCAAGTGTGTTGTGTGCAGTCCTCGGGACTTGAAACTGTACCTACATAGTTGTAAGACCACCTGATATGAATAATGATGCCAAACGTTCCTTTTTCTGTTCTGGATCCTTTTCTCAGAACTAAATAAGCTCATTGCTAAGTTAAAACCTCTTTATTCTTTGCCTTTGACTATCAATCCAAATCTGTTGGTGGCAATGCAGAAATATAACACATATTTATCGTAGAAAATAAGAAAATTCAGAAAAGTGTAAAGAAGATAATATCACTTGTAATATCACTTAAAAATAATCACTGTTAATAACTTTGTGGATTGATGCAATTCTAAAGTTTTTATAAACATGAATGATGTTTTTTACGAGCCTGAGATAAGAAATTGCATAATGTTTAGGACTGTGCCTTTTTCCTTTGAAAATATATCATGAACATTTTCCCATATTTTCATGTATTGTTGATTTAACGATTTATTCTTATGAAAAATATGTATACATGGCTTATAATTATATAAAGTTACATTGACACCCTAGTAACAGTTGTAAGTGGTCTGCAAGGTGTATATGCTAACCTTCAAGATGACTGGATTCTGTGTTTGGATACTTAAGCAACAATAACAAAAATTAAAAAAATTTTCATCTTTAGTGGCACGTATGCCCTAGTATTCTGCCTTTATGATAAGAGAAGGGTGGGTTAATTGTTATTTAAAGTGAATAATGAAGTTTATGAAAATAGTATAGAAACTTTTATTGCCTATTCATAAATAATTTCTAGAATAAATCTCTGGGAGTGGCATTGACATATAGGTTACTTCAAAATGGATGCTTGAAAAATAATATGTTTTCTCTGAATTGATTTGCCATGAATTTGATTTTCTTACTTTCTACAACCATAGTGCCTATGAGATTATCAAGCTGAAAGGGTATACCTCTTGGGCTATTGGACTGTCTGTGACAGATCTGGCAGGATCAATTTTAAAAAATCTTAGGAGAGTGCATCCAGTTTCTACTATGGTTAAGGTAGGCTTAAATTATCTCTTCATTTATCATCTTTTCTTTAATATTTGTTGAGTCCCTACTATGTGCCAGGCATATATACATTATACAGGCATTGAGGATATAGTGGAGAGCAAAAAAGGTCCTGACTTCATGAAGTTCAATTAAAGAAATGGACTTAATAAAATAATTATAAAAGTAAATTCTATAATAACAAATTATGATAAGTGCTATGATGAAAAACTACCAAGTACTTAAGAGTATACAAGAAGAGAATTTAAATACCCTGGGTAGAAGCATGGGTGATGGTAAGGGAAAGACTTCCTAAGGAAGTAAAATGTGACCAATTCTGAATAATGAGGAGTTAATTTGGAAGGCTGGACAGGCAGAGGGAACACATGTACAGAGGAATGGAGGTAGATACAAGTAGAGGGCACTTGTGGATCTGAATAAAAGGTCAGTTGTTGAAATGCAGAGATTGAAGGGAAGTGCATGGTGAGGCTGAAGAAGTAAGCAGCGTTCGGCCACTGAAAGCCTTATAAAAGGATTTGGGTCCTTACCATAAGGGCTATGGAAAGCCACCAAAAGAATTTAAGCAAGGGACTGGCAAGTTTTCATGTTAAAAATATTTCTATGGCTGTGATAGAGGGAACAGATTTGAAAGGGACAAGAGTGGACATGTGGAAACTTGTCAAGAAGATGAACAGTAGTCCAGAATAGAAAGGATAGTAGTAGAGGTGAAGAGAAGGGGATGAATTTGAGAGACACTGTATTTAGGAGGTAACATTTATAGGACTTGGTAACGGAATGAAGTGGGAAATAAGGAAGTGAAAGGTCATTTGTAGGTTTCTATTTTGCACCATTATATAGGTAGTGATATCCACTGAGGAAGGGAATTCTCAAGGAGAATCAGGTTTAAAGATCATGTTTGCAGTTACGGACAAGTTGAATTTAATGTGCCTTTGCAATATCCGAGGGGAAATAGGCAGTTGGGTACAAGCTTCTGAAACTTGTAAAAGAGTTTTAGGTTGGAGTTCTAAGTGTGAGTCAGTTTGGAGAGAGACGTTCCTGAAAGGGAAAGAGAAGTTCTGTCAACAACAACAACAACAAAGAGATGCTGGACAAGTGCAGACAACAGATACCCATTACACTTGGTAACAGCAGCTGGGAATTTTAATGAGCTTGCCTAAGGAGAGTATAATAAAATGAGAAGACAGACTGAGATTGAATCTTGAAGAATTCCAGTGTTGAAATTTGAGTTTATAGTGTGAGTCCACAAAGTGACTAAGAAGTGGTGGCCAGACAGTTAAAAGAAAAACCAAGAGAAAAGAATGTGGATTCATGGTAACCAAGAGAGAGGAGGATGCTTTAAAGATGAAAGAATTGGTTTTCTGTTGATTGATGTTGAGAAGTCATTTAAATTAGGTTTAAAAATGTCAGGAAGATAAAGTGACAGAGGTCATGGATAACCTTAGCAGGACCTGTTTAATGAAGTAATAGGAATGAAAGCCTGATTGGAATACACTAGGGTTTTCTTAACCTTGGCACTGTTGACTTTGGGCCCCATAGCTCTTCATTGTTGTTGAAGGGCTCTCCTGTGCATTGTGGAATGTTAGCAGCATCCCTGGCCTCTACGTGTTAGATGCCAGTAGCATACCCTCTTTCCCCAGTTTTGACAGTCAAAAATGTCTCCAGATATTGACAAATTGTCCCTTTGGAGAGTCCCTTGAGAACTTTTGAGGAAATTAAGACAAGTATAAACAGCTCTTTTGAGGTATTTGGCTGTGAAGGTAAGGAAAGAGAGTAGTAGTAATTGGAGAGGAAAATCAAGGTCAGGCAAGTCTGTGTTCTTTTTTTTTTTAAGATAAGATGCTGATAATAAAAGAAGATATTGAAGATAGAAGTAAATAAGCAGAGGGGGTGGGATCCAGTCTTAGAAAGGAGGAGAGAGAGCCAGTTGTTTTAACAGGAGATAATAGAGGATAGGCAGGGAATCATGTAGATTTGTAAGTTTGGCATTGGATGCATCTGAGAGACAAAATCACCTACTGAGAATCAGGGGATGTATAGAGAAGTCAGATGTTTGAGAAGATTTGAAATCATCTTTGTAGATAGTGAGAAATAGAATTTGACCCCCAAAAAAGATTTGAAATCATCTTTGTAGATAGTGAGAAATAGAATTTGACCCCCAAAAAAGCAGAATTGCTGTTAGGTGGATGCTTATTTGAGGTTGGTATGAATTAACTAATTAATTAAGATTAATTTTAATGTAAGTTAAAGATTAACTTTGTTCTGTAGTTTTCTCCAGGGATCTGAGCCACAGGAATGGAGAGAGAAGATAGCTGAATTTATCTGGGCATGGGTTTTACTTGCTGGAGCATGAAAAGGGGAGGTGGGGGAGAAAGTAGAAGGGAGGGATGGAGGAGGTGTAGCTTTTGGCTTATATACATGTTAATAATGGGTTTGACTTTCTGCTAAAGGGTCACAGACAAAATTCAAGAGCTTGGCCCTTAAATATGATCTGCATACAAATGAATAAATTATAAGAGGGAAATGAATAATAAGGAATTTAAGAAATATTTATAAACTGAAAATTAAAATAGGGCAGAGGGTCTTAGTCTATGGTGAAAGGGTTATAGGATGAATCATGGGATCTAAGTTGGATAGGGAGGAACCCTCTAACAAGGTCCACAGTAGAATCCTTGGGGTGGAAAGAGAAGGTTCTATGAGCTGAAGAAGTCAAGGGACTTGGTTATGGTTAGTTTATCCACATGGACAATGAAGTCACCAAGGTTAATCGTAGAAGTTGGGACAGAGAGGAAAGATTGTAAGCTAGGTGTCAGTCTTTTATGAATGAGATGGAGTAACCAAGAGATTAGTAAATGGTCATTAGTAGATGAGCTACAAAAAATAGGGGGAATGTTGAGAGTAGGGGACTAATGGTTTGAAAGAGGCAATGAGTACAGAATGAGTACACCCCTCCTTTTTGAGGATATGCAGGGGATATGGGAGAATAAGCAGTTACCCAAGGGTGCTCCTGAGGCAATGTCAGGGAGGTGTCAAATGCACTGAGAATGAGTAATATGGGAATTTCATAGTTTTTACTGTACAAATCAGTGAACAAGTTATATTTTATTTTTTTATTAACATATAATGTATTATTTGTTTCAGGGATATAGGTCTGTGATTCATCAGTCTTACACAATTCACAGCGCTCACCATAGTACATACCCTCCCCAATGTCCATCACCCAGCCATCCCATCCCGCTCACCCCCCTCCACTCCAGCAACCCTCAGTTTGTTTCCTGAGATTAAGAGTCTCTTATGGTTTGTCTCCCTCTCTGGTTTCATCTTGTTTTATTTTTCCCTCCCTTCCCCTATGATCCTCTGCCTTGTTTCTCAAATTCTACATATCAGTGAGATCATATGATAATTATCTTTCTCTGACTGACTTATCTCGCTTAGCATAATACCCTCTAGTGATAAGTTATATTTTATAGGAAAACTTAAATATTTGACATTAAGAGCATAATCACTCATATACTCTTATATTTTTTTACCCCAGTTATTTCAATTTTATTTATATTTCAGCAAATAAATAAGGTACACAGTTTATGTCATATTAATATATTGCTGGATTTAAAAAAAATATATAGGGAATTCTTTTTTTTTTTTAAAGATTTATTTATTTATTTGAGAGAGCGAGAATGAGAGAGAGAGAGAGAGTACATGGGGGGGGGGCGGTTAGAGGGAGAAGCAGGCTCCTCGCCGAGCAAGGAGCCCGATGCGGGACTTGATCCAGGGACTCCAGGATCATGACCTGAGCCGAAGGCAGTCGCTTAACCAACTGAGCCACCCAGGTGCCCTAGGGAATTCTTTTTAAATAGCCTTTCCTCATTTTATGGCCAGTCCAGTAGCAAATGAGAGCCAATTTTAGTGTATTCAGGGGTCATATTGTCAACCAGGCATGAAGCTTAAAGAAAAGAGGGGGCTGGGTAGCAGGTCATGGTCAGTACATAGGATCAGGCAGGGCCAGGCCCCAGGGGCCAGGACCCTTATTTCCAGCCCACCTAGCAGACCCCAGATGGCATGATGGGATGGATATACATTCTCCAATTCTAGTCCAAGAAGCCCCTTCTAGAAGACAGACAGAGGAAGCAGAGGGGAAACAAATTCCCAAAACACTAACAGGGAAGCAGAGGCGCTTCCTCCTCAGCCACAGTGGCCTTGTTTCTGATGCCACCCAATCCCTAGCAACTCATGCTGAAGCTCCAAAAGTTACACAGAGGTGGCAACAGAATGACCACGGGCAGGAAATTCAAGGCAAGGTGAGTGTAACTGGAGCTGGAGCCTGGCTGGGAATGGAGTGTGGGCTGACAGTCTGGCAGGACTGTGGCCTTCCATGGCTAGGCATAGACCGGAGTGGCGGGAATATGAGTATAGGCTGGCAGGGACCCCCAGAGGAAGACAGTGTGTGATGGCTGGTGTGATAGAGCTTTTGAGTTTGAATATAAAGTGCCTACCAAAATGAGGGAGGTGTACTGTGGTGGAGGGGTGGCCACAGTCCCTCTGTGGGAGACTAGAGTGAAACAGGAGCAGGGGGTGCACCCTGAGATCCTAGCAGAGCCCCAGAGATGGTGAGAGGGAAGCTTGGCTGAGTAGCTCCTGTGGGCTCTGAGCTGTTGTGGGAAGCTGGGAGGCAGCAGTCCAGAGTCAAGGAGCCTCTTCTTTCCCTCCATGCTAGTTCCTGGTAAATGTTTAATTATAAGGAAGGAAGGAGGAAGAACAAGACCATCCCACTGCCTCCTCCAACCCTAGACTCAACCCCAGGGGTAGAGAGGAAAGAGCAGAGTGGTGGAAGGCAGGGAGGTGTGAGGGGCCTATCGGGTCTTATCTTCCAGGGGGTAGTAGGAAGGTGGCAGAAATTGGTTTGTGGGCATGTAGGCCTTGTGTTTGTTGCCCAGGTCGTAATCGGTTCTGGCACCTGCTTCTGTGACCTTGGCTTCAGCTGCAGAAGTGGAGGGAACATCGGGGCTGCTGGCTGGAGACTCCAGGAGCCCAGAATAGGATGGTGGCCATGGTTGCAACTATTCCATGTTCGTCATGGGAGGTCCTGGATAGAAGTCAGATGGAGTGGTAGACAGAAGTAGCCAGAAGGACAGGGGTACATTCCATTGGTAACTGGCAGGGAAAAGACAAAGGCCCTGCTAGGCATGTGAGAGTACCTAGAGGCTCCGTTAGAGGCTTCACCTTTGGAGGATTGAGATGTCACCTGTAGCATCTATCGTCCGACTCAACGGTGCCTCTTGGTGTAAAGGTCAACTTATACAAAGCAGTCTTCCCAGCCACTTCCTGCTTCAGCCTTCACGGTTCTGTTGATGTAGTTTATACCAAACCCAGGCTGCTTGATTTTGCAGTCCTTTATCAGATAAAATGGCATCGTAAAGGATTGGATGGCATCTTTTCTTTGGACAGAAAAATGGAACTCGTAAGGGGTAAAGTAAGATGGTGCCTTTATTGGTCCCTTTGAAGGCCTTTGGTATGTTCTTCATGTCCTTGAACACAAACTCTGCATAGACATAGGACATTAGCATCGGTATTAATTGCTCTGCCCCCTCTCTGATTCTAGTGAACTCCATGGTCTCCCTGGTATCCTCTTATTCTGAAGCTCTCTTGCATAACTGCTTTTCTATATCAGGTTACTGAACAATAATCTAATTTTGCCTTTTAGGGCTTATATGGAATAAAAGAAGAAATCTTTCTCAGTATCCCTTGTGTCTTGGGGCGAAATGGTGTCTCAGATGTTGTGAAAGTTAACTTGAATTCGGAGGAGGAGGCCTTTTTTAAGAAGAGTGCAGACACACTCTGGAATGTCCAAAAAGAGTTGATATTTTAAAGCCTCTTAATGTTCCACTGTTTTATAGAACAGAAGATATCAGACTGTATATTTTACATTTTGAAAGTATTTTAATCTGATCTGTAAAAAATAAAAAAAATTGGAGACCCATGACATAATTTCAGTCCCTCAAGGCTCGGAAAAAGAAATGGTAAAGAGATTTCTCCTCTCTATGAATCTCTTAAAGCTCTGTTTTAATGATACCCAACCTATACAGATGCAAGTTTTACTTCTGAGGTATGTCATACATAAGAGTTGACTTCAAGTTTAGTAGAGTATGTATAACAACCCATTATAATATAAGACTTATGATTTTTCTCACAAAACAACCAGCACTTTTTCTAGTGTCAAAATTTCATTCTTCTATTAGGGCACAGGCATATTTACTTTATATTGCTTCATTAGCTTCATGTGTCTATGTATGATCTTTACTAAGTACTTATCTTTAAGACCATGTATATCAGAAGAAAACAGAAATAAAACTTTTATGGTATAAAAAAATTAAATGGAATGTCTTCAAACCTGTAAGCATTATTCCAAATCACATTAACTCAAACAGTTGATTTGGTGTCTCTGTTGAAATGCCACACAGGAAGCTTAGACCATTTACTAGGTCATCTGTTGAGCAAACTGCAGCTATGCTTGCTGTGTTATGGTTATGAGGTCAGTATGACATGATTTATGCCCTCAAGTATCTCACAGTATTTAGGGTACCTCAACTAATTGATTATTGACATGCATGTATATGAGTGCATATAGGTACTTCTGATTATATATACATATAGAACAAATATATATGAAATATTTCCTTGATTTCACAATTTAAGGCAGTTATAGGAAATACACAATTAAAACTAAGAAATCAGGACCAAAATAATTTATAATAGACTAGGACAGGATTAGTGACAAACATTAGAAGACAGATATGCAGGTCCTAAGGACTTACATGGCTCTAGTGGAGGGGCGCTCCTTGGGCAGAGAGTCGCAGTTCATATTCTTATTCTTGCAGTCTGAATAGTTTTCATTCTAGTCCTCTCCCGCTGAACATGATTAGTTTCCCATTATTCTTTTTCCTTGTTTCCTCTTCTCTTGAATGCACAAAACAGGATCATGAGAGAGTTTAGTTAGGATAGCAGGGATGGGGGAGTCTAATGTAGATTTTGCCTTTTTTTTTTTTTTTAAAGCTGTTCTTTGTACACCAAATTAAAACTTCATTTTAGGAAATCCTTGCAGATATTGAAAGGGTACAAAATATAGTTTCTACAAGGAATATTCTAGGAAGTAAAACTGCTCCACATGGTGTATTCTCAACAGCGGGCAATATCACCCCCAAGAGTGTAAAATTGGTTATGGGGGGTTGGGGGAAAATATTAGGTATTACAAGGGTTTCACTCCCTAAAGTTCAACCCTACCAGACAAAATCTTATTCTTTTTTTTTTTTTTTTTTCAGATTTTATTTTTAAGTAATCTCTACACCCAACATGGGGCCTGAACTCACAACCCCGAGATCAAGAGTCGCTTGCTCCATGGACAGAGCTAGCCAGCTGTCCCTCTTATTCTTTAATATTTAATTGCATGTTGGGGGTGGGTGGAGCTGAATGATCAGCAGAGAAAGTCTAAAAAGGCCCTTGAGGGAGAGAGAATGAAAAAAAGTTTGAGAAACATTGCTCTGTTTCTTCTAAAAGAATTTGTCAGAGGTGTATTATGTATTATGATTTACAAATGAGTTAGAAAACAATTAGGTAGAACGTGGTGGGACAAGAGAACTAGAAACCTTGGTGTATCCCAAAGGATAAGAGGGGAATTTTGGATTCTGCATTTAACTACTTCATGAATAATGAGTTAAGCTTTCCCATCCACTAGTGGAAATGGTTATCAGCCCTGCACTGATCAAATTCTTAGGATTTCTATCTTATTTAAAAATCCCCTTTGCATAGAGGGTTTTAAAATTTTTACTCTCTCTGCTTTGGCTCACATTTGTGGGTGGTTAAAAGTAGCATGCAGATCTTTCTCCAGCTGCTCTGGGGAAAAGTTCCCAAGGGAGAGTCAAAAAGCCCTTATTGGATACATCCAGACAAGGTTTGGTTAGAAATAAATTTACTCGGGGGGCGCCTGGGTGGCTCAGATGGTTAAGCGTCTGCCTTCGGCTCAGGTCATGATCCCAGGGTCCTGGGATCGAGTCCCACATCGGGCTCCTGACTCAGTGGGGAGTCTGCTTCTTCCTCTCCCTCTGCCTCTCCCACTGCTCATGCTCTCTCTCTCTCTCTCTGTATCTCTGTGTCTCAAATGAATAAATAAAATCTTTAAAAAAAAATAAAAATAAATTTAGAAATAAATTTACTCGGGCTCTCCAGTGGATGAGTTCTGGGCAAACAGTACTCGGTTTGATAGCTGAGACTCTCTAGTTCATTGTTGTTTTTTACGATTTCATTTACTTATTTGAGAGAGAATGAGAAAGAGATCATGAGGGGGTGGGAGGGTCAGAGGGAGAAGCAGACTCCCCGCTGAGCAGGGAGCCCGACGCGGAACTCGATCCTGGGACTCCAGGATCATGACCTGAGCCGAAGGCAGTCGCTTAACCAACTGAGCCACCCAGGCGCCCTTCTCTAGTTCATTGTTACCTTTTGCACCTCGAGCTCTTGGAGCCCAGGAGCCCAAGGAGCCTCCCGGAAGCCCGCCAACTACAGAAACCTCAGCCCTCCGCTGGTGCAGGTGATGAGCAGCCGGCGCAGGGGCAGGTGCAGTACCTCAGAGCCCGCCTCCTGGCCGATCCTCTGCTCCGGGTGTGCGCAGACCCCACGAGGGCCGCACGAGCTGGGCGGGGCCTCGCGCAGCCTCAGTAGCCAACGGTTTCCCCCCTTGCAGCCTCCGACAGTTCTGCCCTTTTCCTCCCTTCTTTTCGTCTGCCTCCTGAGAGGGGGGCCATGTACTCGGCTGCTGGCGTCCTGCAGACCGGCTGGAGCGTGGGCGCCGCGGGAGCGAATTTCTTTTGCCTGAGGGTGGCTCTGTGCCCCTTGCAGACCGCACGCATCCCGGTCGGGGGCGGCTGGCCCTTCACCCGTGCGAGTGTGGCCGAAGTAGCGCGCCCGGCGGTCTTGGGCCGGAGCTCGGTGCTGGAGCTGAGAGCTGGGCTGGGGGGCGGGAGGGGAGGAACAGGTGTCCTGACTGTCGTGTCGTTTTTGGTGGAGCAGCCCCTTTGCCTTCACTCCTTCTTAATTCCTCTTAACTTACACCACCCTTCTCCCCACTCTCCCGCCCCCTTGGTTTGCCTCCTGGGTGTTGGGCGCTGGCCAGAAACCACCCAGCTTCTTTGCCAGCCACTTTGGTCGTTCCCTGGGGGGTCTACAGCACCTCTCTTCCCACAGGGACCCAGGAGTTCTCTATGAGGCCTCTCTCACTGTAGACCAGTTCCGAATCTGGAAGTGGCTTTGCAGTTTTTCCTCACTCTCTTAGGTTTCCAAGATGGCGCCTGTCCAGGGTGAACTTCCTAAGAATTTCACTTCAGAGGAGGCCGCTCATCACAATAAAATCTCCATTACAGGAACTGGAGCCGTTGGTGTGGCCTGTGCAACCAGCGTATTATTGAAAGTGAGTTATGTGTTCTCTGCCGTAGGGTTAACGAAGTTTCCCTCCTTTGGATGTAAGGCTACTGCATATGGTTGTGCAGGTTGTATTCAGTTAAAGGGGTGAATGGGGGGCCCTATCCAGTCCCTGCTGGTTTAGTCCAGAGGTAAAGCTGCGCTTTGCTAATTGTTTCACCCAGAGCGGGCTGCTTTTTCTAGTTTTTATGATGGTGTCCTATGTGTTAGAATGGTGACACCTTTCACTTCCGCTCATGTGATGACCGTATGAAGTGCCCCTTCGCTTGACTGGGAAACAGCTCACACACACACACACTGAAGAAATGGATGGCAGAAAAGAAGTGTACAACCTGTCCGTTGTGGTGGGTGTCCCACTAGTACAATATAATGATCTTTTTCCTTTAAAAATCTCTCTCCTATTTCCTAGTCTCTATCTTTATTTCCCTTCTTCCTTATCCAAGTGGGGTCAGTTTTAGTGTTTAGTTCTTAGTATTGATGTGGCAGATAAAGTTAGCTTCCAGTTAAATGGCTAGACACAGGACTAAAAAGATTCTGACCCCTTTCTAAGAACATTACCTTGGTTTGAATCCATAATGTTTTCGTAAATAATAATAAACTCTTGGAGCTATGCTTTGCTTTTATTAATGGAATATCTATAAAATTTCCTTAAGCTACCTTTCTATAGCCTTTAATCCTGACATGATCATTGGATTTAAAGGATTGGCCCCGGGTTTCATCTAGATGACCTAAGTGTCCTTAAGGCACTAAGAACGTCAGCCTCTGTCAACTGCGGCTCCTAGCAATCATATGAATTCCCAGTGACTCGTTTTGTCCTATCAACTTATAATGCCTTTATCAGCAGTGTCGTCATTGCTAATGAAGAATACATGTACATGAAAACCAATACATTTGTTGTCAACATCAATAATAATGAAAATAATATACTTTATATATGTTATCTAATAAAATCCCAAAAAGTAATTATTAGGTCTGTTTTACGAAGGAGGAGAAAAGGCAGGTTGCATGAATAGATAAGTATAGACATAATATGTACAGAAAACCTTGAAGTAAAAGATTTATTTACTATCTTGCTTTGATAGGGATGGAATGGGCCCTATCCATAAAAAGAAAGTAATAGCCACAAGCTCCTAGAGCTTGAATTCTCTGATGCTGACAACTATAGCATTTGTATGTCTTAGAAAATGTGGTGCACAATATCCCTACAAAGTCCCAGGGTAAGGCTCACTTTAATCTCTTCCTCTCCTGGCCCTAGCCTTGGCAACTTCTTTCATTCAAGGAGGTGGTGATAGCTTTTTTGGTTTTTTTTTAAGATTGATTTATTTATTTGAGAGCGAGAGAGTGTGTGAGAGTGTGAGCGGGGTGGGGGGGGGGGCACAGAAGCCAGAGGGAGAGAAAGAATCCCAACGCGGAGGTCAGAGCCTGACCCAGGGCTCCATCCCAGGACCCTGAGATCATGACCAGAGCCCAAATCAAGAGTGGGGTGCTCAACCGAGCCACCCAGGTGCCCCAAGGAGGTGGTGATATCTTTTTTTTTTTTTTTTTAAGATTTTATTTATTTGTCAGAGAGAGAGAGCACAAGCAGAGGGAGAAGCAGGCTCCCCGCGGAGCAGGGAGCCCGATGCGGGACTCGATCCCAGGACCCTAGGATCATGACCTGAGCCGAAGGCAGACGCCCAACGACTGAGCCACCCAGGCATCCCGAGGTGGTGATATCTTAAATAGCTCCTTGCTGATAAGGAATAATTGTCAGTAGGAATTGTTTATTACTTTATCGGCAGAAATTTATGGTACAAACCTAGTAAAGAAATGGCAGTGTTTTTGAAAATTACTGAATTATACCACAGTACATAAACTTTCACTACTATAATGTGATATCTATGAGGGCAGGAATCTTTATTCCATTTATTGCTGTATCCCAAGTCTAGAACCATGCCTAGTGTAATAGTAGTTGAATGAAAGAATAAAAGCCAAATGCATGTTAAGAGGGAGAAAGTACTGGATAGCAAATGCAGAGAGTGGATATTCTACCCACCTTCATTTTTATAAATATGGAAAGTGTCCAGAGAGATTGAGTTAAAATACTTTTTTATAGACTTATTTTTTAGACCTTATTTTTTTAATAACAGTTTTAGATTTACAGAAAAATTGAAAAGATAAGTACAGAGTTCTGTCTTTACCTCACATCCAGTTATTTACATCATATGGTATATTTGTCATAATTAATGAGCCAACATCTGTATGTTATCATTAACTAAAATCCATACATTACCCAGATTTCCTTAATTTTTACCTAATGCCCTTTTTTTCTGTTCCAGGATCCCATCAGGCATACCACATTACACCTAGTCATCATGTCTCCTTAGCCTCCTCTAGACTGACTGTTTCTTAGACTTTGTTTTTGATGACTGGCAGTTTTGAGGATTACTAGTCAGGTATTTTGTAGAATGCCCCTCTATTGGAATTTGGTATTTTTCTCATGGTTAGATGGGTTATGGATTTTTGGGAGGAAGACACAGATTTAAAGTGACATTTTCATCACATCATAACCAGAGTACATACTGTAAACATGATTTATCATGGTTGATGTTGACCTCAGTCACCTGGCTGAGTTACTCTTTTCTACCCCTTTCCATACTATGCTCTTTGGAAGGAAGTCTCTATGTACAGCCCACACTTAAAGAGGTAGGGAGTTATGCTTCCTCTGAGAGTGGAATGTCTACATAAATTATTTGGAATTCTGCATGGGAGATTTGTTTCTTCCACCCTATTAATTTATTTGTAAATATTAGTATGGATTCATGGATTTTATATTTTGGGTTATAATCCAGTATGTCTTCGTTGATTTTGTTTCTCAAATTGTTCCATCTTTGGCCACTGGAAGCTTATTCAGTTGACTACTGTGTGCCTTTGACATACCCCATCGACATAAGGCTTTTGTTTTGTTTTGAGCACTTCCTTACTTTTTGGCACTATGTTTCAGCTTCTTCATCTTGTATATTTTCTGCTCCAGGGCCAAATCAACCTTTTTTCCAAGGATCCCTAGTTCCTGTTACTGGAGAATGGTACTATATAAACCAAGATCTGGGTGCTGAGCGTGCTCGTTGTTACTGGGGTAACAGTACATTTTAAAAATTAGCTTTTCAAAGATAATTTTATCAATACTATATAAATCCTGCTATATACTACTACAATCACTGAATAATTTAGAGTATTCAGAAAGCATTGGCATCTCATTAAGCAACAGCGTTTCCCTCGTGATAGAGTTTAGACTTCTAAGCTAATCAATTATGATGTAGTTTAAAATTTAAAGTGCTTGACTTTGGATTTCTATTAATTAGAATAAAGTAAAATATCCAACAATATAAGTTGGACATATGCTTAAATTGTAGATGCTTGATTATTTATTTCTAAGTACTAGAACAGTCATTTTTTTCAGTGAAAATTTTAGTTATTTAAAATTCATAAAAATTTGTAGTTATTTAAAACATTTTTTCAAAAAATAATACATTCACAGGATTACAAAATAAAAGTAATAAAAACAGATATACCTGGCGAAGTATATATTTCATCTAGTTTCCATCCAGTCTTTCCTCCAATGTCTGCTATAGGCACCCATTTAAATTAGTTTCTTGTGTATCTTCAAGTGTTTCTTTTGCAAATACAAATATGTTATTTTTCCCTCCTTTCTTACGTAGCATGCTAGAAATAATAGTACTGATTAATTTTTGCAGGTAATATTGCCCGATTATAGAGCTATAAAATTTTAGAGTTGGAAGGGGCCTTATATTTTAATCCATTTATTTAAAAAACTTATTGAGCTCCTATGTGCTAGGTTGGTGCGAAGCATCACAGTGGAGATGAATAAACACTTCCTATTCTCAAGGAGCTCATAGTCTGATGAGAAATTCCTTCTACAGAATCCCTGCTTTGTCACTGTGCAGCCTCAGCTTAAAGAGGTGTTCACTACCTTCAGAGACTCTTCTGTTTATTAAACAATTTCTGTTGTTTTTCTAAGTGTGAACTGAAACTTTCCTTGTATCTCTTCTGGTTTGGACTTTTAGATCATGAAATGTTGAACATACTATGTCTCCTTTTGAGTCTAATAACTCATAAGGTACACATAGATTGATGGTATAAGAATTTTCTTTCATTCTGCACTTAATTAAGAGGCTTACTCCCTCCCCCTGCTTTTGACTAATTTCTTTTAGTGTTTGAGTGATGAACTTGCCTTTGTGGATGTTGATGAAGGCAAATTAACTGGTGAGACAATGGATCTTCAACATGGCAGCCCTTTCATGAAAATGCCAAACTTTGTTTCTAGCAAAGATTAATGTCATAGTTAAGTACTATAATTATTCTAATGCTACATGAATAAATAAAATCATATCTTTATCTCCCTTTATGAAGACTTCCTCAGTTCTTTTTTTTTAAGATTTATTTATTTGAGAGAGAGAGAGCACACACCTGCGTCCAAGTGTGAGCAGGGGGAGGGATTGAGGGAGAGGGGGGAGAGAGAATTTCAAGCCGTC